CAGACTAAACTTCTCTAAAAGTGTATCACATTTTTCCTAGCTCTTCCCAAGGACTCTTTTCTGTTGTAAGTTAGCTCATCTGGGAAGTACAGTGATGCTTTCCAATTAACACTGATAAATTATATTTAATGTTCAGGAAGAAAATCCCAAGATTTTCTTACAAGTTAAATTCTGTAGCAGTTACGTTTCAAATTAATTCCTGGATGCCTTGCAAATTTGGCACGTAATCAGGAAAAAATTATTAAAACCTGCTTGTTCTACTGAAGTATTTTCCACAATTTCTTCAGCCTTTTAATCATTCATCTTAAAACACCTGTACTATGCTACTAAATACAATCCTTCTGGAACACAGATAGGGTAAATAATTCCAGTATTACGAATTCAGTCTGACACTGAAATAAGTGAATACAATTTGGAAGTGGACTTGCATAGAACAGCCGCAAATTTGTTTATATTCCTTAATTTGAATGTATTTTTAAAACATGATACATCTGACAAGATGCTGGAACTGTCTTTGAAAATAGTGATCTACACTCAAGTAATATTATGGAAACAAATTAGTATTACACAGCTTAGCTGCTAAAACTTGTCTATATCAGCTGATGATGTACAATCTGTTGGCTTTTAATTTCCTAAATACAGCTTTTCATGCTTTCTTATTCATTTATTGAAATGGCATTTCAGGCCTCAGTATATCCAATGTCAAACCTTACTGGATTGGTTCCTACAAAGGAAAGGATCGTCCTGCTAATAATTAATAAAAGCTTTGTTAGGATTAAGTGTTCTCTCCTGTTGAAGATTTTAACAGAGAACTATGCAGGAAGCACAGAGAATTTAAATGCTCAATATATGTCCTCCTTAGTTAATTTCATTTTGAGTTATTACATAATAGAGATATACGGTTACAAATTTCTTTATTAAAGTGAAATGAATGAGTAACAATCCTGATTGTGTCATCCACTGGAAATACACTGATTCAGAAATAATGAATTCTTGATAAACTGCAAATACAGGCATAAGCATAAGTTAAACCTGCTATAGACAAGTCTCTTGTAAAGGACAACTTGCCATTTGTACCAATTAGTAAAATCAATACATGCTTTAGTCAAGGATTTATTTGAAGATAACTATTAAATATATATTATTTGAAGAGTACTATTAAAATGGCAGAAGGCCCCCTGTTCTGCAGTTTAAAATTAATCAAAGCATGAATAAGATTGCAATCAGTGGATAAAAACATAACTAAAAGTTGTCAAGTTCTCTTGTTTAGACAAGAAAAAATGAGGTTCAAAGAGCATCAGATACAGAAGAAATGATCAATTAGTTTGATCAAGCTTTAAATAGCATGTGCAGTACAGTAAAACCAATTGTTTTTAAAAGTAAGAGGTGGGAAGTCACACTCAACCACTCAACAGCAAAGTTAGGGTTGCTTAAAACTTCAGTATCTTTTCCAGTATCTTAAAAAAAAAAAGCACCTGAGCTGCATGAGCTTTCTCTTTATACTTTATACCTGTCCTTTCAAACTACAGCTCAGATCTTTTCCCTGAATAATATCAGGCACAAAAGGAATTTCAGTGGCCTTGCAAGTAAAGGGTTTTCTTGGGACAGGAGAAGAAGAGATACATAGAGATTTTCAAGAAATTTAATATAATAAACTAAGCCTTAAATTTAATCCATATGTGAGCATCTTGAATCGTGACATTTATGCTCACATTCTCATTTCCTTGCTTGTTTAAGATTTAGTACAAAACTGGGTTTTCACTTTAAGAAAATAGGATTTCATCATTTCACTTTTGAAAATAATTCTTATAGTGGTTTCTTTGTCACAGAAAAGACATAATATATAAAATTCATACAAAAGGGATGTTGAGATGTAATTTTTAAAGACTTAAGGCACTTAAAAGTAAACTAGAAACAGTGCTAAAGAGTTCATGACTGGACAGAACTGATATGATTAATTCTTTCTGAAAGCTAATCCAATTTCTGATTGTTCTTAATTTACAACAGGTTGTTTTAGGTTTGTAGTGACTAGTTTTCAGAACCAGATATTACTGTACATAAATAACATAAATTGCATAGATTCAAAATTTTTTAAGCAGTATGAATTTTAATTAAGAATGTGTTAATATGATCTTTGTGAAAAATACAGTATTTGCAATACTAATGCATAAGGAAATCTGTTAAATCTATGTTTTGTACTGCACTTAATAATTCAGCTTATTATCCCAGTTGCTACCAGAATTGAGTCTTACTAAAAACCAGATCATCTCATTTTTCTGCATCTTCCCATTACCTCATCAGTTTTATTTCACAATTCTGAAAATAACACATTGTACAATACATTTATTTTATTACCAGAAATGTGATTATTTGAGGCTGCCAACAGCTGTGTTGGCCGTATTCCCTGACTGTTGGATGGGTAACTCCCTTGCAAAGGTACACAGTGAAACAGGTGCAAAAGGAGACATGATACATCACCAGATAAGTTGGATGGCATAATTTATGTTTCTTTCCTATAGACGTTTAAAAGGTAAAGCAGAGAGAAGTGTTCTGTGGCTGAACAAGTAACTGACCCAGAAAATCTCAAGGTCTGTAGCACATGAAGTGTGAAAAAAAGGACTGTTCCACCTTGGCCAAGTTAAATGCAGTCCTTTGCTAAGTCTTTGAGGCTGATCTTGAAGAACAGGATGGAAAAGTCATTAAAAGCAGAATATAAATGACAAAAAGAAAAAGAAAGGAAAGCCCAGAACAAATAACCACAGTTATCCACTGCATGACCCTGAACACCTGGTAGTATTACCTTTTGGCACAGATACTGAGGATCATGTTCAGACCACATAAATTACAATTTTAAAATATAAACATTTAAAATGAGATCAATGGAAACAGAATCCAGTAAAGAATTTAACAGGGAAAAAAAGATGAAGGTGTGGAATGTGTGACAAGGTCTTAAAGAAATGACAAGGTTGCTTTTTCCTTACTTTTCTACCAGACAACAATGCCATGAAACCCCTAAATCCTGAAATCAGAAGTATTTACAAATGTTATATCATCAGTATATTGGTCTTACAGTCACTTTCGATCTTAACAGAGTTTGCCTAGATTGAGGAAAGCTATGAGTTCTTTTACAAAGGCTTCAATCCAGACATTTAACATTACTTTTCGAAGAAGAACAGCTCAATTTCTTTTCATCTTAGAAGAACCGTCTTCCCTGCATTAGCTGTTTTGTTACTGCTTTTTGACTGAAACCCTAATTCTCCTAATCAATTTTCATTCAATCAGTTCCATAGTCTGCTATTTATAGAAATCTCAAAATTAGGGAAATGCTCTTTCAGGGAAGATGTAAAGAAAAGGAAAGCTCTTAAGATATATTTACTCTGCCAGTACATACACACACACACACAATTAAAAAAAAAAAAGAAAAAAGAAAAAAAAGAAAGAAAGAATATGTTGCTAGGTTTAGCCCAAGTGCCAATGATTTCTTCTCCATTCTTCTATTTATATCTCTATTTATATCATCTCTCAAAGTCAGGAGCCTAGATTGCTGACAGTAAGCCAATCTTTTACCTTTGATATTTCCTAGGTCTATCTACAGCCAGGTTAAAAATCTCAACAAGAGTAGGCAGATTTATCCACAGTTCAGTCAAAGCTCTCAATCAGATTCAATTTCCTCTTGCTCTGATGCCTTTAAATCTCTCGTTATTGTCTGCCCATACCTTAACTCAAACCTTCAACTACTTCTCTTCCAAACATGGAAACAGCATCTCATTCCCAGATTCAAATCCCTTAAATCCATTTCTGCAGCTAAGGTAAATGCTGTATGCTTTTAAACTTCTTATACGCGTAGAAACATTCTGTGTCTCTTCTATTGACAGCTTCCATGACGATCAGGTGGCAGATTGTTTTAATGCCCTCCTTTGTTGTTTAATGCCAGTGACTAGACAATAATGTTTTTGTATCTAATGTCTGCAGACTGAATTTTTCACCGCAAATGATTTTCCCTACTTGACGTTTTAAATCCTACCTAAAAATCCATTTCTTCTACTGCTCTTCCAATACCACTCTACACAAGTGCAAGTTGACCCTGTTGAAGTTCATTATTTTTTCTCTGAAACTTTTTCACCACATCCAGCTCTTCTACAGGCTTCATCAAGCTGACCTTACTTCCTCAAAACAATTACTGACAACATAGCACCAGCTGTTGTTACAGTTTAAGTCATCTAACAACTAGGAATAAAAATGAGTAAGCTTTAGTTCCTTATTTATTAAAATGTCAGTGGAAGATACAGTCTGTATTCTATTTCACTGGCAATTATATCAAAATGTATATGTAGCTTAATGCTACATATGAAAAGCAGATGAAATTCTGTAGTAATGCAAACCAGTGTCATTATTCACTTCTCAAAGATCAATCAGAATTGTTATGACATTTGGTGTTTTCCCTCTATTTTTCACTCTCTGAAGCAGTAGGACTTTTTTTTTTTAAATTTCAGATGGATTTTGAAAGAGAAATCTGACACATCTTGTTAAGACTACAGCTTCCACATATCAAAGCTAACAATAGCTAACCTTTAAGCACATTAAAAAAAAAAAAGAAGAAGAAAATATGACCAGTGAAATTGGAAGGCTTAGCAAGCAAATAATTAGATTAAAATATATTCTGATTTATTTAAAGGCAGTTTTAGATATGATGATAGTTTGGTGGCGTGACTCATACCTTGCAAAACATTTGAGACTGTAATAGTGAAAAAAAGTTACTGTCTGATTCAAGAAATTAGACACAAGAAATCTATTTCCTGAAAACCCTAAACTGTGTGTAATCTTAAAAGCAGTCTTAAATAGCAGAATGATGGAAACTGTTGATATTGGAAATAGGAAGGCAGACCCCATCTCATGCTTTACAAACCTTTTACTTGTTTCCAGACTACCTGAATACCCTGCAGAGACTAATGTTCACCATCAGTCCTGCTTCCAGGCAGCACAACTCCACCAGCACTCACCACTGGCCGGTGCACATCCCAAAATGCTCGCTCCTGGCTGTCAAGAATTTTCCTTTCTATCTTGTCTCTCTTCTTGTCAACTCTGTCATTATTGTGAGATAATTAAAAGAAACTGTGTTAGTGATTTGAAACATAAGAGGTTTCCAATATCTTATTTATCCCCTATTCCCTTTAAAAGCACACACATGCACACACAAAACTCATCTTGAAAGGAACTTACTTTGCTTGTGCTTCAGCTTGCATAAAAATAAACTCCCACTTCCGAGCAAATGCTCGCTGTAGCCTGGCCAAGCTCTCCTGAAAACAGATCACAGTTTTGACAAGTTAGGTAGCAATTTACTGTTTAATAGTTTTTGACTTACCTTTTCCTCCTCCCATGCCTCCCCCCCACAAAGACGTAATGCAAGCCATAGTGTGTACCAGTGTAAATGCACCCTATGATTTAAAGTGTTTGCACAAATCCAAAGAGGATAGAACATTACATCAATCTACTTTTTAATGTCCTCACTATTTTTGCTTTGAAAATTTGATGATAAGAGTGGATGAAATCCTCTAAAAGAACATGGGATTTTTGAAAGATTTCCATGTGCTGGGTGTTGGACTGGGTAATCCTGTAATAATGCAAAACCACATTCTTGTTTTATACCTTCTCATGAAAGGTAACAGAAGAAATTTCCATATTGAATGATCTACATGACAAATTCCATCAGTTGCCTGTATGAGTGACTTGTGTTTGATAATGTTGGCTACATACAAATGTATTTAAAATACAATAATGAGAAAGTAGGAATATTTTTGTAATGTAGGAGTCTCTGAAGCTATCCACAGCTATTCTCATTTCAAAAGAAATACAGACTAAAGTTATTCAGTACTGCATGAGGAATGTATATATATGCTATATTCTACTACTAATAACAGGAAGAAGATTTTCCAAACCTTGAGAAAATTATTTTGGTGGCACTGGAACAGGTTCATGGTCTGTGACAGAGCTTTTCTATCTCTCTCAAGCTTGAGAGGCAGCAGCATGCATTACGATAACGTGGAGAAGAATTATGTACTTAAATTCATCAAGAAAGATCCCAGTTGCCATTGCACATTGTTTTTATTGAGATTAAGTGAAAAAACATCTTTAAACTTCCTAACAAAAAGTGTTGTGTTAATTGTATTTCTATGTATTGCAAAAGTCTCTCAACTAAATTCTTATCAAAAATAAAGATTACAGAGATTGGAAATCTTGTAAATACCAATAAAGGCTCTTATGAATAGTATACTGGAGGTAATTTTTCTATGCAAATATAAAATCATACATACCTCACAGCGCAGTACACTGAAAAGCAAGTTTGTGCCAGAAGAGGCAATGAAGTCTGTCAGCATGACGCTGAGGCTGGAGTATTTGGCATGTTGAGAGGTCTGGCTGACTATCCTACTATCATGTCATAGTAACACAGCTGGACAGCTTTCAGTGCAGAGACAGAACTGTGCATGAATCTTATGTTGACACATTCATGAAAAATTCAGGAACTTTAGGGGGAATAGGGATGGAATCCAACCTATCTCCTTGGTCAGTGCCTTCCTCCTCACCTAATCAAACTCCTTCCTCCTACTGCTCTTCCTAGCCCCAATTACCTTGCTTTCTTGCCTGGGGCAGAGCATGACATTTATAGTGGGAAGTGCTTCTACTCTAGCAGTCTTTGCCCATAGTATAACTGATGAGATGTAAGCTCAAGTGCCAGCAACACTTTTAAGAATGAGATTCATATCTCTATAGCTACTAAACGCTTCTCAAATCATTGTCAGAGACTTTTCATTCAAGTCTTTACACTATGTAGAGTACAATTTCTTTCAAACACGAGGTGTATGTGGGATTTGCAAGCAGCTGTTTCTGATCCTTGCATGATGATCCAGTATTAGAGACAAGCCAAAATGTCAACTCTTGCCCAGCCAGCCTTTGCTACTGCCTCTCAAACACCTTTTATTACTCCTGAGCAATGTCAAACCCACATGCTGGCAAAATTTGTATAACTACAGAATGCCCACAGTTCTCACACTTATCATTATTTTACATGCTAATTAAGAACAGCAAAGAAATTTACTTTTCCTCAGGTACTTACAGCTTCATAGTCTGCTAGCTCTAGCCTTGCTTTATTTTGCATTGTCCGCTTGCAGAGGTAAACCGCTGAAACAGAATAAAAATCATACAGGATTTGCTACTGTCTCACAAACACAGCAGACCAGAAATCTAGAGCCTTCATCTATACTTTATTGCTCGCCCTCTTTTTCGTTTTGAATTCTTCAGTTCTGAAAAGCTTTAGATGCGGGATCAACGCTACAAGTAATGTAACTGAAATTACAGGTCAGATACAAAGGTTCATTAAATAATTATAAAATCTGCTTTATGTAATAGATGTCACATACAAAATGCACGAGATACTTGCAGTGAATTTATTTCATGGCAAATTAAAGACAAAATGGCAAAAACATCTTTAACTGTGTGTGCATTCCTCAGGAAATATAAAAAATTGTGTACATAAACTTTTAATTAAAAATTGATTAAAAAAAAAAATTCAAGTATCATACAGGACAGTCTGCAATGACTTCCATTTAAAACAAGATTAGATCAAAAAATGAAAAAGGAGAAGCTTGTATTAGATACAAAATCTTTCATTCTTTTCTAAAACCAAAATCATTCAGCAGATCTTTTCTGCCTCCACTTCATCCTGACTGAACAGAATAGTAAAATGGAACTAAATACTGAAAACATGAAAATGAAAGTTAAGGCTACACAGACAGCACAGTTGTTTCTATTTGAATAAAAGCTTGATTCTTACTTCTTCAGTCTCTATATTCTTTACAAATGAAGCATATTTCCAACAGATTTATTTACTTCCCATCACCCCAAAAGCATTACACAGGATGCCCCAACAGAAAGATAAGGAGGGAACTACAATTCCTTCTGCTAAGGTCTGGCAGCGGTGTCTACCCACATCACTACTTCTGAGCACATTCTCACATACAACATGGGAGAATCTTTTGATCAGTGCAGGTAAGAAAACCTTAACAGTGGTCTCTGTGATCAGCAAAATGAGCCAATGGTTCTGCTAGGAATAGGCAATTACTCCTACTAGCTTCTCCACTACAGGTCACAAAGAGAAATAACTGCATATAGGAACATCATTCCTGCAATCTCTAGGAAGAAGGAACTGTTTGTTTTGTATTTAGCTTTGATTTTTAAGGTAATCACAGAGTCACAGAGTCACAGAATTGTAGGGGTTGGAAGGGACCTCCAGAGATCATCGAGTCCAACCCCCCTGCCAAAGCAGGTTCCCTACACCAGGTCACCAATTACATATAAATTTTACAACTCTGAAGGAAATATATTTATGTCAAACAAATCACTTGCAAATGCATGGAAACCCCCACTGATGGATGTTATTTTGGTGCAATTGATGACAAGCACTTCTCATAACTCCAGCAGCAGCTACAAGTGTTACTTGACATAAGATGAAGTTGTTTGATACAGTTTTTTGTCTATTTTTTCCTCATTTAATATACATTGCCTAGCCTATTTTCTTTCACACTTTTTTAATTCCTTTAAGAAGCAATGTCCACTTCCTCTGTTTGTTATACTCCTGCATTCTCTCTGGTTCCAGTGCAATTTCTTTGTCTTCAATACGTACGGATGCAAATACACTAATCACACATCCAGTACAGCAAGCAAAGAATTTCTATAGCCTCTGTTTCCATACGTTTTAATAGTACTATACAATTACACTATTGCATTGGAACACATAATGAAATGTCACAAAAAGATTAAATGAATTCTGGACCCTTTGTAGTGAGGATGTATTCACAGCGCTAGAAAAATAAAAAGGACAAAGATGGTCTTTAATATTTAACTCCTCTGATAGTGAAACATTTTTCCCCCTTTTCCTTCAAAATAGGTTATTTTTCTGAACGTGAAAAAACATTCTTAAAATCCCTGAAAATATCATCAATAAAATGTATACATACAGTGTATATTTAATAGAAATGTGTAGACAGTTCTAAGAATTCCAGAAGTTGTCCATTCCAACCATTTTAACAGAAACAAAACAAACTCTCTACTCTCTGCTCTCTGCACTTGCTTATCTTCTTCTAAGTCATATTTTCATGTTCCCCATTATAGGCACCTTTAATTAGCTTAGCACTTCCTTGAATCCCCTTGTGGATAAATTTTGGGATTGGCATCTCCTCCTACTTTCAACAAAAGTCACTGCTGTACAGGCAGCCAACTGTCCACCTTTCTGCCAGAGGAGGCTTCAATAGAAGAGGCATCTTCAGATCACAGAGTACTCAGAGCTGGCAAGACAACCACTAGGTCACCAGGAGCAGATGTGGACAGAAGAATTAGCTTTCTGGATTCTTAATATAATACTGTGCCTGAGAAAATCCTTGTCTTCACTATGTGAGCATACCACAGAATATTTCCTGCAGTTCTCTTAATTATCCTTTTTGCTTCAACACCTTGGCAAAGAGTCCTTATAAGAACACTTGTTTCTCGTCATGTACATAGTTAGCCAAGTCATGTTCATCCCCTAGACATTTTTCTCCAGAAAAAGAATTTCTCTACTATCCAGATCACCTCCCTTTTGGGAATATAAAAGTTATAATATTGATGGTTTGGAATATTCCTAATAAGGATTTAGTTACCTGGGAAATCACTAATGCAGAACAAAATAGTCCTCAAGAACATTCCTACTCCGTGACTCAATATACCATCATTGCGGTGTGCTAACAATTCATCCTTATAAAAGTGCATGTTTGAGGATCTTTTTAAGAGCTACTGTAGACAGAAGAGAAGTGGGCAGCAGCTCAGGAATTTGAGTTCATTAGTTCACAGTCTTGCCAATACAAAACCTTGGTTTGTCCATAACAAAATTCACTAATCTATTGGAATGCAGAAAAAATGTGAAAATCTCTCATTTTCAGACAGACTTTGAAAATACAGAGAAACAATGTTTTATGCCTTTGAAGTTCAGAGCAATGAGACCTGAAATATGGATGCTGCTGTCTTTTTCTGGTACCACTCCTTTTCTGCACCAAAAAATGTAGCTTCACATCGAGCAATGCGTCTCCTGGTCCTCTACCAAAAGACAGTCATGATCCCTTGGCATTTTAGAGTATGACAGTATCTGCTTTTCTATGTTCATCATTTGAAAAAGATTCTGGTGTTTTTACAGCTTCATTTGGAACCACAATCTGCAGTAAGGTTCTCAAACTATAAGTTGCTCTATTTTCACATATGCTTTTCCAGCACAAAAAGATGATGCAGTTAATTACAACATACCCAGTGTTGTGTTTCCCATTCTTTTCCCCAAAACATGAACATCTGCATTTGTAGAATGGAAATTACAATAATAGAGAAGACATTTCCAGCTCATCAGTGTTCATTTATGATCTGCTAATGGGAGATTTTTGGAACTGCATCTTAGGTTGACTTACCAGACTGCATCATTATCAGATGGTCCTTAGTAACTGTAGTGTATTGGCAGTTTGACAGAATCTGTAAAATTCTGCAGATTGCTTTTATGCCTGAAGGAAGCAAGTTGTCAAAATATTCTTTTTGTTCTTACATATCTTCTTGTGATCCTACTGCTCCACATTAGAACTGCAGGCATTTCCCAGCCAGGAATCCTTATGCTTAAATAAAAGCAAGTATGCTGAGAGAATAAAGAAAGTTTGAAAGACTTCAAAGAAGGGGGATTGTTTCTGAACTCAGCCAAAATTTTTTGAAGATGAGTACTATTAATTGACTGTCCAAAAAACAAAAATATAGGGCTGCAACTGTTCTTTCTGTTTATTCTGAAGCAGAATCTGTTTTTGAGCCTGCGCTACTCTAAACCTGCACAGGGGAAGGTCCATTAATTTGTAGCACATGCAATAAATAAAAAAGACATTTACTAAAAGTGACCCCCAAGGACCCTGCTCTCGACCCTCAGTTCACCATGGAGCTGTAAGTGCTCTAAGCAACCCATTCCAGGATCTCTTCCGACCCATAGCTGTGTTCAAGCACAGCTACATTCCATTGCCCCTGCTTGATTTGTACAAGGTATGCCTGTAAACAGGCCTATATACTACCAATGCTGTCCTGACTTCCTAGCTTAAGCCAGGACTTTCACGGTCACTCAATACTTTATTGGTGAGAGATTAGCCTCTGCTGTACTGTTGCCACCCTTAAACCTCATATATCTTCTACTGCAGAGCTGCCTGTGCTTGCTGTTCCCTCACAGGGTGTTGAAAAATGCTTAACATATGGATGAATGATACACTGGGAACAGGGTCTGATTAATAACCTCAATTTACTAAATATGGACTGCCACATACAATCTTTTTTTTGTGCCAGTGTACTCTGATGGATTTTGCAATCAACAGAATTGCCTCCACTGAAGTGATCTATATATTAAATGCTATATGCTTTACAAGTTACTGATTAGCATAAGAAAACAGATTTTCCAGCAATTTAAAATGCAGTGTGAATATGTAACATTTCATACTGGAAGATGGCCAAAGATCCCAAAGGGCTGCTCCAAAGCAGTGCCTCCTATTTTATTTTGTTGACCCAGAACATCAGATGCAGATGTTGGTGGTATGGCTGTAGAAGTAGAGCCAACCCGCCAATATTTAATTACATTTTGTTGCCACGTGACAGATGGCAGCAGAGGGGCACTCTGACAAGTGGCATCTCACATGGAAGTGTATATGAAGCAAAGGTATGGGATTGAATTCCACCATTTGGGAAAAAAAATGGCACCTACTGACATTCATTGATGCTTACTGAACGTTTCTGGATACCAAACAGTAAGTGTGAGCACAGTGAGGCAGTGGGTGGTATGTTTCAGCAGCAGCAACAGCGCTGTGAAAGACAAGCTGCATTCTGGAGGTCTGCACAGATTTTTACAAGCACAGCACTCAGGCTGCTGCTCATTGATGGAGAAAATGTATAGCTAACGGTGGTAATTATATACAAAAATAACGTTTTATAGCTGGCATTTTGCTTTATCCAGTAGTGTTTTTGTGTTCTTTGTACCTGTTGTAGTTTCCATGGAAATAAACAGGAAGCATTGCTTTTGGAGTGACCTACCTATAAATGGGAATTTGAACCACAAACTGGAATTAAGAAAAACAGTGTTATCTGTG